ACCATATTATTTTCTAAAGGCCTACTTTTATCTCATAGCCCTGAATCTGTTTAACATAAAATTGTATTTTGACATGGATCCTACTCAAGAGCTCTTTGGGGAGCTTCCTAACCAGGTTTGCATTAGTCCTATTTGAAGCCAGGGAAGAAACTGGCACTTTGGTAAGTCAAGGTCTTATAGCCAGCAGGTAAATTCACTACACTTCACTGTGATGTTAATTTTATATGTCAACTCACAGGGTGTTTTTGAATGAGATTCATATTTAAATTGATGAACTCTGAATAAAACAGATTGCCCTCGACAATGTGGGTAGGCCTCATTCAATCAGTTAAAGGCCAAACAAAACAGAAAGACAGCCTCCTTGAGGAAGAGGAGATTCCAGCCAACTGACTTGAGACTGAATCGGCAACATTGGCTCTCCAGGGTCTGCAGCCTGCTGACCCACACTGCAGATGTGGACTTGGTGGCCTCATGAATCACACAAGCCAAACTATTATACTAAATCTCTTCCTATATATACACATATCCTATGAGTTCTGTTTCTCTGGAGAACCCTGACTAGTACCGCATGTATTATCTTGTCCTACCAGGACATCCACATGAGATGCCTTATATTAAGGGAATAAACTTCTCAAAGGCAAAGGAGTTTATTCAGGACATAGAGCAAGTGGTGGTGAGCCTGTGCTAAATAATTCGGCTTTCTGGCCAATTTTCAATGGTTAATTTGCAACCAGAATTTCTAATCTTGAAAAAGGACTTCAACTATTTCCATTTTGACCTCAATCTGTACTTTCTAATGGATTAAGTTCTTCATTTCAGTTTAACTCTTAACTCAGGCAAAAGACCCTGCCAGCAAAGCATGTCCTGATGGGAGCCAAAACTAACCCCCCCCCGCCCCGGGGCAATAAGGACTACCCTGAGCCAGGAAGACCCAAGTGTGACTGACCTCAAGACAATGATCAACCTGACATTCACTGCCCACCTATGTGTTAGAGACATTCAGTTAGGTTCTAACAGGAGGCCTGGAGGCCAAGAAAAAGTCAGTCATGGCCAGCTATTGACAAAGTCAGAGGCCTGTCCTGGCAACACTCCAGAACAAAACCACAAGAACCAAGGTCAAACCAGACAGGCCCAAGATGGCTGACAAAGTAGGCTGGAAACCCCTGCCCAAATAAGGAAGAAAAGGCTCAAAACCAGCTTCCAAGAAATCCCCACCCAAGTAATGAATATTCCACAACTGTCAATAAAAGATAAAAACCCAACCCCCAGGATAATCAGCTCACTCACTGGCCTTCTCACATCTGGAGAGTGTACTCTCACTTTAATAAACATTCCAGCTTCTGTCTCTAGCCTGTGTTGTGTCTGTCCTGTAATTCTTTCTCATAACAAGACCAAAAGACTTGGGTGACATCTTTGGGACAGGCTGGGTTGAAGCCTCAGAGCCCACGTCTCCCCGGTTCACCTGGCAATATATGTATGTACCAACCTTTGCTCCACATTTCTCCTTATATAAACCTGGAAGTATTTTCAGCACTTTGGAGACAGTCTTTGAGATATTAGTCTACCGTCTTCCCAGTGTTGGCCTCACTGAAATAAATTCTTTTCTTGTTTCCCTACCATTTGTCTCTCTGCCTCTGGATCCTGTCAGCAGCAAGTAGCTGGAACTGGTCTGCCTGGACCCCAAGAGCTAGATGCTCTGGCACCCTTGTGCCCCAGCTACAATCTCCCACTCTCATTAAGATGATACTTAGAAGATGTACGGGAAACTTCCATCTCATAAATTCAAGAGGTCTACTAGTCATTGAACTTATTCATATATCTTAATGACATGTTTTCGATTTCTCAGACTAAATCAGTTATGGGTCATTGTAATAATCAACCAACAAACAAATTAATTGACTTTTATGACCTATCTATTCTCAAGGTGCTTACAATTACCTAAAAGTTTAAGTAATATCAGAGAATTTCAAGACTTAAATGAATTTAATGACTTGCCCTCAAAAGGTACAAAGAGAGGCAGCGACCCGGGAGGTCTTTTTATTTTTATTTTTTTTAAGTTTTAAATGTAACATGAAGCCTTTAACAACCCAAAATTGTATTGTCTTATATACGGAGCAAGAGCAGAAACAGAGGCACAGATGTGAGAGGACCTATTAAAAACAAGTCAACAACAATAACAAAGAAACCAAAAAGAAAATATTTAGAAAAAAAACAAACTGTGATTTCTGACTGAGCTTGGAAAAACTCTCATCAGAAAAAAATTTCCATTTGTAATCAGACATCAGACACACATACATGTGTATATTTCTTCTTTTGTTAAGGTGACTGAATTGTCATTTGCTGGGCAAATTTTCTCATGAACACAGGAGGCTACTACATAAGCAGTGGACTAAAATGGACGTTGGAATTCTCAGTGGAATATGGCATTTAAAACCAACGCCACTTCTTCCCTTCAGTGACTGAAAAGGTCAGGGCTAATCACCAATTTCCTTGCCAGGACTGCCTAAATGTTTTGAAAGAACATGCCTATCTTTACAGCTTATAGCATGATTTTCTATCTCACGTTGTCCTGGACTTGAACAGGTGCTGATTATGGGCAGTGACCCCCCACACAGTAGAAAATCCTCATAAAACTTTTAACTCCCTATAAACTTTACTAACAGCCTTACTGATAACATAAACAGTTGTTTAACACATATTTTCTATGTCATAGGTATTATATGCTGTATTCTTACCATAAAGTAAGCTAGAGAAAAGAAAACGTTATTAATAATAAGAGAAAATACATTTACAATACGGTACTATGTTTTATAAAAAAAAAAAAAAAATCCACATATAAGTGGATCCACGCAGTTCAAACCCTCATTCAGGGTCAACTGTACTTTATGTGTGAAATCATTCCATTTTCCTAAAAGCTCTATGATGAGATCCCAACAATGAAGGGGTAGTTATTCACCAAGGGTCACAGTGCAAAATACTTTCCCCATTTACCATTTATTTTATTTAGCATTTATCACTATTTCATGGTATGGTTATTGCTATACAAAAGTTTTCTATAGACAAATCTAAATCTATTTACCTAATGAAAATTTTGGTTTTGCCATGCTTGGCCAGGCATTCACTATCCAAAGTTAACAGATTTTTCACGTATATTTTTTAATTTTTTTATTTACATTTTTATTTTGTTTTTTGCATAGTTTTTTCTTAATACATTTTAGTACTTTTTAAGGTTTAATTTCATAAACCAACTGGGATTTATTTTGGTGTATGGTGAGAAAAAGAAATCTAACTTTTTAAACTGAATGGCTAATTATTTTAAATATGAAATAAACCATCTTTGGGCGCCTGGGTGGCTCAGTTGGTTAAGCG